CCTTATATTGTTTGTCTTGTACTCTGTCTTATTCACCTGTGTATATTGCCAAATACCAACACTTGGTATCAGAGCAACCCCTGGTGTATGCCCAAGTATCAGTCTCGTGAAGAGATGTCAGGAAGCAATGACAATGGTGAAAAGGACGGACAAATCACCCTCCACTATCCGATGTTATCCAGAAGTAATTATGGGGCATGGGCAATCAAAATGCATGTGTTCATGCAAGCTCATGGTGTATGGGATGCTGTTGAGCCTCGAATAGCCAACACGGTGGTGGAGGTGAAGAAGGACAAGATGGCGCTAGCGGTCATTTACCAAGGAATCCCAGAAGAGTTTGTGATGTCGCTGTCTGAAAAGAAAACGGCCAAAGAGACATGGGAGGCTCTAAGAACAATGTTCGTAGGGGCAGATAGAGTGAAGACTGCAAGAGTTCAGACCCTAAAAGTTGAGTTTGAGGCTATGATCATGAAGGAGACAGAAAGTGTTGATGATTTTGCCGTGAAGGTAACCAATGTCGTCAGCACCATGCGTACGATGGGAGAGAATGTAGATGAGGGTTACGTGGTGAAGAAATTACCCAGAGCAGTGTCATCAAAGTTTCTCCAAATTGCCTCAACTCTTGAGCAATTTGGCGACTTGGACACAATGAGTGTGGAAGAAGTGATAGGCCGATTGAAAGCTCATGAAGAGAGATTGAAAGGGCATGGAGAAAGTGATGATCGAAAACTACTCTTGACTCATCAAGAGTGGTCCGAAAGAACAAAGAAAAAGGGAGAAGGAGACTCCAAATCTAAATCGAATCGAGGAGGATTTGGAGGCTCACGAGGTCGAGGCAGAGGTAGAGGTAGAAACAACGGTGACCGAGGTGGTCATTGAAGGGGTAGCTCACACCAACAACGAGAAGGGAGTAAAGGTTCATCCGGTAGCCAAGGCAAAGGTGGGATACAATGCTACAACTGCCAGGACTTCGGGCATTATGCAGCTGAGTGTAAGAATCCGAGAAAGGATAGGAGTCAAGAAAACAACTTGATTCAAGAAGATAATGAACCTGCCCTGTTGCTGTCGTCACTCGAAAGGAAAATAGAATACGGTGAAGTATTCTTGAATGAAGAAAGTGTGAAGCCAAAGTTAAGACCAAAGGGAGGATTTTCAAACCAGTCTAAGGTATGGTACCTTGACACTGGAGCAAGCAATCACATGAAAGGCGATGAAACTAAGTTCTGTGATCTAGATCGAAAGATCCAAGGTTTCGTGAAGTTTGGAGATGAATCTAGAGTAAGGATCGAAGGAAAAGGGTCCATTTTTTTCCGGTGAAAGTATGGAGAACAGAGAAGACTTCTCGAGGTGTATTACATACCCGACTTATGTAGCAATATCATAAGTCTGGGACAATTATCGGAAGGAGGAGATGAGATTAGAATCAAGGAGCCGTATTTATGGGTACTTGATGCAACTGGGAGATTACTAATGAAAGTTCAAAGATCCATGAATCGTCTCTACAAGATCGAGTTGGAGGAAGCAAGACCCACTTGCTTAATTGCTGAAATCAAAGATCCTACATGGCTCTGGCATGCCCGATTGGGCCATGTAAATTTCACTGCACTTAAGCTCATGACTGAAAGAAACTTAGTCGAAGGAATGTCAAAGATAATCATCCCCTCTTAATGGTGTGAAGATTGTCTGGCAGGGAAACAAACTCAAAACCCGTATCCATCTCATACTAATTTACAGGGCAAAGAAAAGGCTTGAACTCATTCATGGGGATCTATGTGGACCGGTATCGCCTCCCACACCTGCCGGTAACCGGTACTTTATGCTCTTAGTAGATGACTTCAGTAGAGCTATGTGGGTTTATCTATTGAAGACAAAGGATGAAGCCTTCCAAACATTTAAGAACTTCAGGGTAAAGGTTGAAGTGGAAACTGGTGAGAAGATGAAGGTCTTCAGAACCGATCGCGGAGGGGAATTTCTCTCTAACCAGTTCACCAGGTACTACAATGAAACAGGGCTCGAACGTCACTACACTTCGCCATATTCGCCACAGCAAAATGGCGTAGTGGAGAGAAGAAATAGAACTGTTTTGGAGATGGTGAGGAGCAATATTAAAGCCATGAGCATTCCAGACGTATTGTGGGGAGAAGCGGTGAATCACGCAGTGTATGTGTTGAATCGGGTCTGTACAAAAGCTCTAAAGGAGTCAACACCATATGAAATGTGGTCCGGTCAAAAGCCAAATGTGAGTCATCTCAGAGTCTTCGGGTGTTTAGCACACATGATGATTGCCAAGAATCATCTAAAGAAATTGGAAGATAGAAGCAAACGAGTTGTTCATCTGGGATTGAAAAGGGATCAAAGGCGTATAAATTGTTGGACCCAGATACAGGAAAGGTGTATGTTAGTCGGAATGTCGTGTTCGAAGAAGATAAGACATGGACGTGGGAGGATACAACGAAGATTAAAGTAACACCAGGAATGAGTTTCACTGTTGAAGGCTTCGACTTCGACGATGAGTTACACGATGAAGATGGTGAATGGGTTCCAGATACGCCGGACCAAGGACATGGGTCGCCACAGACTAATGCTGATTGGGCCGAATCCACTCAGTCTAATAGCCCACAATCCGACCCGAGTGTACATCCCACACCCTCAAATACGCCATCGGGTATACCCAATTTGCCAGATAACCCCAATTCTCCGACTCCGGCAACAACTCCCAGCACAACCTCAAGTTCCACAGGCGGCGGTGCCCCAAAGCGTTTCCGACTGCTCATGGATCTATACGAAAATACAGAAGAAATTCAGATACCCCTGGAGGAACTCCTAATGACACACAACGATGAAGAACCCTCGTCATATCAAGAGGCAAAGCAAAACCCAAAGTGGGTGGAAGCGATGAAGGCTGAGTTGACTTCGATCGAAAGGAATAACATGTGGAATCTCGTCGAGCTACCAACTGGTCGAACACCGATTGGGCTGAAGTAGGTGTTTAAAGTCAAACGAGACCCAGCTGGGAAAATTGTGAAGCACAAGGCGAGAATCGTGGCAAAAGGATATGTTCAGAAACAGGGGATCGACTTTGAGGAAGTATTCGCTCCAGTCGCAAGAATAGAAACGGTACGTGTTATTATTGCTCTTGCAGACTCATTTGGGTGGCAGGTACACCATCTCGATGTGAGGTCTGTATTCCTAAATGGGAAATTAGAAGAAGAGGTCTATGTGTCTCAACCGGAGGGTTTTGAGAAGAAAGGAGAATTGAACAAGGTGTATAAATTGTCAAAGGCTTTGTATGGTCTAAAGCAGGCACCCAGGGCCTGGAGTGCCTGCCTTGACAAGTACCTAAAGAGACTGAACTTTAAAAGGTGTGCACAAGAGTATTCAGTGTATACTAGGAAGAAAGATGGAAATACTCTGATTGTTGGGGTATATGTCGATGACTTGTTGGTTACATGGAGCTGTCAAGAGGCTGTGAAGAAGTTCAAACTAGAGATGAATGAAAGGTTTGAAATGAGCGACCTTGGGCTATTGGCTTATTACTTGGGAATAGAAGTAAATCAGCAGGAGAATTGCATTACTCTGAAATAGGAAGCATATGCCAAAAACCTTCTAGCTAAAACTCAAATGCTAGCCTGTAACCCCACCAAAAGCCCCATGGAACACAAGATAAAGCTCCTCAAAGATGAAGAGGGAGAACCTGTCAATCCCACTGAATACAGGAGTATAGTGGGTGGACTCAGGTATTTGACACATACTCGTCCTGATATCACGTTTGCAGTCGGTGTAGTCAGTCGTTTTATGGAAAAACCTACAATAAAACACCTTCAGGCAGGGAATACTTAGGTACATTAAAGGCACCACAGACTATGGGCTGGTCTACAAAAGGGGACAAGAACAGATCACTATTGAAGGGTATTCAGATAGTGATCATGCAAAAGATGAGAGTGATAGAAGGAGTACAGGTGGCATGGCATATTATGTAAATGGTAATCTGGTCTCATGGGCCTCACAGAAGCAAAGATGTGTGGCTTTATCCTCCTGTGAAGCTGAATTTATGGCTGCCACAATGACTGCTTGTCAAGGAATCTGGTTAAGGGGACTTCTATCCAGTGTTTCAGGTCAAGCAATACCTCCAATAGCAATGTTTCTTGATAATAAGTCTGCTCTTGATCTCATGAAAAACCCTGTGTTTCATGGGAGAAGTAAACACATAGATATCAAGTACCACTTCATCAGAGAATGCATTGAGAATGGGGAGATATCAGTTACACATGTCAGTACAAATGAACAGAAAGCAGATATGCTCACTAAGCCATTAGCAAGGGTGAAATTTGAAGAGATGAGGAATCTTGTTGGAGTTATGAAGGTATGAATCTCAAAGTTACGGGGGAAAATGTTAAAGTAACTCTAAAATATGTCCATTATTATTAGTTAGCACGTGTTTATTTGAGTCTTTAATTAGCTGTTATTAGCCTGAATAAATCAAAGCCACGTGAGGTGTGAGCTCCTGGTCTTTAGTATGCAGTTGTTAAGTTTCCGTTTTTCATGCATTGATTTATGTTTAAGTAGCAAGGCAATATGCTCTGTAATTGTATCCCCACGTTTATGAAGTATTCAATAAAACAGTAAAAGCATTTTTGCCTCATATTGTTTGTCTTGTACTCTGTCTTATTCACCTGTGTATATTGCCAAATACCAACAAAGTTAAGGTCCTTTCCAAGCTGCGGCATGCCAATCTTGTATCTCTGGTTGGTTATTGTATTGAAGGGAAAGAGATGGCCCTTGTTTACGAGTTCATGCCCAATGGTACACTTAAAGATCATCTTTGCAGAGCTGATTGTGCCTTATCTTGGTCACAACGACTCAAGATATGCATAGGTGTAGCTCGGGGATTAGACTACATTCACACAGGCACATCAACCCAATTTGGATTGGCCAAAGTTGGTCCGATAGATCAGGCACGAACTTATGTTAGCACCGTTGTCAAAGGTACATTTGGCTATATGGACCCATGCTACTTCTATACTGGAAAATTGACAAGAAAATCCGATGTTTACGCATTTCGAGTTGTATTGTTTGAGGTGTTGTCTGGGAGGCAAGCTGTAGATTCAACCCTTGATGAAGAGCAATGGGGCTTAGCACCTTGGGCCCAAGGCCAAATCAAAGAGGGAAAAGTCAATCAAATTATGGACCCTAGAATGATGGGACAAATCTCAAAAAAATGCTTGAAGGAGTTTGCAAGCTTAGCAAGTCGTCGTTTACATACCCAACCAAAGTGTAAGACATTTTACATACGCTGAAGTGGTACGTGCAACAAATAATTTCAAATACAAGGAGCATTCCCCAACTTTAAATGAACTCATTTACAAAGGTTGGGTTGATGAAAGAACATATGCACCAACAAAATTTGGGGTTGGTTTGGCGATTTATGTTAGGAAAAAATATATTGAAACGTGGAAGGTATTTTAGTATGTGATATGATCATGTAGGACTTATTTGAGCTAGCATAATGATTACACCTCATGTACTGTGTTTTCATGGTTTGTAGTCTATTCTAGATTATTAAGTTACTGATGTACATTTGACAATTTGGATGTGCAGCTCGAACTTGAACTGGAAGATTTTAATCATCCAAACCTTGTCAAACTCTTGGGATATTGCTCTCAATGGGGAGAACTTTATTGCTTTTACGAGCTTTTTCGTGGCACTACAAGTTTAGATAAATATCTTTTCATAGGTAAACATGTCTTACAGTTATAATTTTGAAGAACACTTCAGACTTACATCTCACAAGGTGAATACATCTTGATGAACTTCCCCGAAAATCAACACTAGTTAATAGGACGCTGCTTGTCGGTTGTTCTGGCATAGTGCACAAATAGGCTGGCTTTGTTTCGCCAAGGCCTAAAATATATTTTATATTTGCAGAGCCAGTTACCACATCACTTCCTTGGGTTTTAAGACTGAAAATAGCAGTAGGAGCAGCTAAAGGCCTGGCTTTCTTACATCGAAGGAAACATCCAACATATAGCCAATTTAAGACAAATCGTATATTGGTGGATAAGGTAAATTAGACTGCATGTGACGCCCTTGGATTTTTCGTCTCGGCATAACATCAGTTTTACTTTCTTTCTCATGTTTTTTTTCAGGATTTTAATGCTCTACTATCGGATTTTGAAGTGGAAAATTTATACGCCACAAAAGAGCGATTTGGTTATGTACTTGATGGATTGGCTGGTATTTGCAGTTCACTACCTGAAGATGGTATCACCTTCTTTAACAGTGAACTTTTTTTGTATATTCTTTACACCACACCAGAACATAGTGACATCCACTTGTCCGAGAAATTATTTACTCAACGGCTAAAAAGTCTGACTTAGATGAGAAGAGTGACCAATCAAACCCCATTTTGGCAGGTGCTGGAGTGAAGAGTGAGATCTCTGCTTTTGGAGCGGTACTACTCGAAATACTAACAGGGATGAAGCTGTATGATGAGAAGAGTCCCTTAGGAAAGCAAAATTTGGTGGAATGGGCTTATATATTTCTAGCAAATGAGTTTAAATTGGGATTGATTATGGACCCACAACTTCAACATAATGGTTATCCTCCAAAAGGAGCATTCAAGTTGGCTCAACTTGTTTTAAATTGTCTTCAATCAACACAAACTGGATGCCTTTCGTTGAAAGAAATCGAGCAGGTCTTGTGTGGGTGCTACAAAGAAGAAATCAGATCAGTGTGCAGTTAAACATTATAGTGTTTTTGTTTGGCATAAATAGATGTAAAAAAGTAAGCTATATCATTTTGGAAGTTGTAGAAGTGTGAAGACTTGATCAGCTCTCACTATTTCAACAGCCTTACACTATTCCATTAATTCGAATCTAGGGCAGGCTTCACCAAACGACCGATGCAGTAATACTATTTGATTGGCCAATCATCTTAAGAGATTAGGTTGATTCCCTATGATATACGCGTCATAAATATCACATATACCTTCATCTCTTTTACTCGACTCTCGTCCAGAATTGTTACCAAACCTTCAATACTTGACCAGCATAAGCCACACATCCAATATTCGCAATCATGATCATTATATATTTGTCTTCATTAGCCATTTTTCATTTATAGGTACACTGTGCTTCTGTGAAACTCCAGATAGGAAGTTTGGTAGGTTTAATCCCTTCAAGTCTTCAACAAATGATAGAATATTTCACATTAGGTAATAATGCAAAATGAAAACAAAGACACAATCAATTTACGTATCGAACATCGGAGAAAGATTTTATTATTTTGTCAAATGGCTTTCTAATAATACATTAGGTTACATGAATTCAATGGATATAAATAAGGTAAATGGCACAAAAGTCACTATCTTTCACTTTTTTCGATTTTGACATCGCATTTTTTTCTGTTACAATTAAGTCACTGTGTCATTTTGTTGCCACGCTAATGTGATATGATGACGTGTCGGAAGCGAAAAAAAGTAGCGCAAAAGACACCATGTTTTCATTTTATTTTTATTTTTTTTGCAATTTTGACACTAAATTTTCAATATTTTCTAATTTTGACACTAAGTTTTGATTTTCTCCAATTTGCAACATAAATGAAATAAACATACACAAAGTCATAATTGCTCCATTTACCCTATAATATAATAAAATATATGTACAATATATTAAAAATGAATACTAAATTTAACTTCGATACACAAAACTCTGTGAAGTGGCATTTAAAGTTTCGCGTCTAAACGGTTCTAATTCGACAATTTCTGTGCATTTGATTTCAGTTTATGTTAAAAAAAATATTATAGAAACGAAATCAAATATTAGGCAGATGCCCGAGTTACAAATTGAGTATGGGATGACTATTGTTTTAATTCAAGTATTGAGTTGATTGTTCGAAACATTATACAATGAGTAAGGTTTAATCGATATGGTGATTAAATAATAAGTGTTTTATTTATATTCAAAAGTTATGAGAGCATATCAGATTGGGTTATTCTTGTGTTTCACTTTGCATGTTTTACTTATCGAATAATAAGATTATTCAAACATCCACAGTCGATCATACTTTGGAAGTAAGTAATGAAGTAAGACTGTCATGAATCCGACTATAGATTCTCGAAGTGCTTGGACAAAGCAAATGTTTGCTGTAGTGTTCGTGAGTACTCCTGAAATAAGAATTTGATTATTGGATTAAACCCACGCTCATTTAAATCACTTCATGGATTTTATCACGAGTAATTGTGAGATGATAATATCTTATATTCTTGAAACTGAGATATATAGTTGTTGTTTACAAGTCGGTTGTGCATTGATAATACGTAAACGCATCAGTAACTTGATGTTATAAAGCGTATTGTTGTGTGTGATTTGATGAGTAAATAGTACAAGCATATGAGTCGAAGATTATCCATTATTTTTACCCTAGATGGGATAAAAGCGATATTTTTGGGCCCCTCGATGATTTAGTGATGGCACCCTAGGTGTTTGGCCAAGCCTGGACTAAGTTCATGTGCTCAATTGTAGTCTGTTGTCAGTCGTTGTAAATCGGAAAGTCGGGAGACAACCTTGGACAAAGAGAATGATTACAATCCATGTATCATGTCCATACGATATGTTGTAGAACAGAGGAATATTTGATCCCTTATCTAAAGGACGCGTTACTGATAAGATCAGAGTTCGACAACGGCTTTTGAAAGCCACGATTGTTGATCAGATTATGAAGTCATACTTGCAATCATAGTTATTAGACTTATCCAAGTGGGAGACTGTTGGATTAGGTGTCTAAGCCCATAACTATATTTGGTATGTAATTGATTTGACTATGAGCATGGTCCTTTTGGGTTGCCTTCACTCATGCAACTTGATGGGATGACTAGTGGAGAGAGAGAGTAAGATTTATTGTATGAATAATAAATTGGTACTCAGAATGATTTTATTAATATATTATAAGATGAATATATTATTTGGAAATCATATTATTGATTGGTGATTAATCAGAAATTAATTTGATATTAATTTTGGGATTAAAGGAACTGATTAATAATGGAGGGGCTGTTTTGCAAATCATTGATAGTTGTGAAACTGGGCCTAGGGACTTCTTGATGGTAGTGGACGGAATTTATAGCTTGGGCTTATAAGATTTCGTCCAAGGAATCTTATGGAGGTCCATGGGTTGCTTTGGGCTTAAGTTAGGAACTAGGGTTTCCTTATTCAAGTCAAGCTTCAAGACTAAGCAACCTAGCCATATATAAACCCTCAAACCCTAGAATTTTCGGATCTAAGCATATGATACTTACCGTGGCCGAAAATCCTTGTCTCTCCAAGTCATCCTTGTTGTGTTGAGTGTTTCTTACTCTAGAGATGCACAAAACCCGAATCCGATCCGATTCGATCCGGATCCGAATCCGATCCGGTTTCGCCTACGTCATCAAAAATCCGATCCGGTCAAAATCCGATCCGGTTCCAACCAAATCCGAATCCGATTCTAATCCGATTTGAAACCGGTTTAAACCGATTTTAGTGGGTTTTAATCGGATTTTTGGGCGGATTTGGATCCGGTTTTTAGCGAATCCGGTTTACGATCCGGTATCAAATCCGATTTGGAATATAGTATTAGGATCCGATTGAAAATCCGGTTTTAAATCCGATCCAATCCGGTTTGATCAAAACTGGTTTTGACCCAATCCGGTTTCGGATTGGATCCGGTTTTGAATAGTGAAACCGGTTTTGTGGGCATCTCTATGTTACTCCATTAGAGGTGCAACATTTGGGGCACTAAGCTTTCAAGAGTCAAGGACTTCAAGGATTGTTCTTGTTATTATGATATAACAAGTGAGGTAATCTTCTACCCTAATATATATATATATATATATATTATATATATATATATATATATATATATATATATATATATATATGTGTGTGAATTTCGAATTGTATATACTAGATCTAGGGTTTTTCTTTGGAAAATTGATTTGCATGTATAACTTGAGAAAAACCTAGATCCAAAGCATTAGGGTTGCATGTGCACCATAGGAATGTTGTAATGCTCAAAACCCATCAGATATTGTAAGGTCCTAAAATGCTTGTGTATCAATCAGATCCGTTTGATGGTGCGGAATCCCAATCAAACGGATGATGCCATATCAAAATAGAAGAGAATGAGAAGAAGAAGATGATGAATCTTGAATGTATTGATGATGAGAATGAAGTTCCTTCACATACACTCTCTTCTTCTCTCTTGTTTCTCTCTCTAGAACACACCTTAGAATACACACACTTAAGCTCCTTGTCATCTCTCGTTTTTATTATTTCCTCACACCCCTCACCCTATATATATACATGAGAAACATGGGCCGTAAATGGGTTTACGGTCGTAAACCTGTTTACGGCCGTAAACACCCACCTGGCCGTAAACCTGACCGTAAACTCATAAAACATTACAGAAAAATACAATCAACTAGACAAAGCAAAGTATAAACCATAATTTTGACCCAACAATCTCCCCCTTGGTTTATAGCTTTCTTTTCTTAATTGACCCAACAAGCTCCTCCTAAAAAGTAGCTGGTTTTTCTTGTTAATCTTCATTGAGAGCTTGGCTTCAGCATTAATCTTCAAATTCTTCACAGCTTCAAGATAAACATGACGAATCTTAAATAATTGACTTCATCTTGAGCAGTTGGGCATTTCTTCAAGATTTGACTCTGAACGCACATTGGGTGAGGAGGCTTGATGTACTGATTCTTGAAAGATGGCGCTTTCAGCTTGAGAATCTTTAGAGAGAACATCAGAGAGAACAAATCTTCTGGATCACTTCAGCACGTTCATGATAGCAGCAGACTGATTGAGGAGGCTTCAATGCAATCCGTCACCTAATCTTCAAGTGCAGCTTCACCTTGCTTATGGGGTTGAAAGATTGAATGTCGAAAGAATAATCTTTATTTCTTGCTCCTTCGAATGAGAATTCTTCGATGATCACGGATGAAGCCTTGGCTCAGAAATCTTCGACACAAACTTCATGAGTTTCATCTTCACCTGAATTCACTTTTCAAGACAAAACAAAACTAAAAGAAAATTTAGCACACAATATTTTTGGGTTTTTCATATTTTCTGAAAAAAATAAAACAGAAACAAAAATATTTTTGGATTTTTTATTTTCTTGAACAAGAAATAAAAACAGAAATAACACTATTTTTGTATTTTTAATTTTCTGATTTTTGTTTGAGTTTTGAATTTTCTGATTTTTGTTCGATTTTTGAATTTTTTTTTTAATTCTCCCCCTAAATTTGTGCATAGAGGAAAACTATGAACAAATTTAACAAAAAAACAAAAATATTTGGGATCAAAGTTGTGAAGCAATCCAATATCGTTTATCAGCACACGCCTGCATGTCTAGATCTGCTCAATCACCGGTATTGTGGTCCACTTAAACACAAAAGATGTTGTCAATTTGGACAGATTATAAGTGACAAGTCATTGTGATATATATTCCTAAATTGACATTTAGGTGACGACGACCAAGGATATTGTTGTCCACTTAAATTAAGTAGCAAGATCTACAGACAACCTATTAAATTGTTCAATTTCAGATGTACTAGAACATGTTTCCCACTTCCTGATATACCCCGGTAATCAAGAACTTCCAAAGAACTCCTTACTTTAGGTGAGTATTCAATCATTAAGAAAGAAGCCAGATATAGAAGTGCATATGTTGTATCCCAGGTCGGATGTCTTCCAATCACAC